TTGAGAAGGTAGAGGAAGTAAATGCATACAGGTGGTGCTCAACCTTGGGTAAATGGAAAAGATGGGGGCTGTTGGTGGATGTGCAGATAAGAAATTCTATTGGTCAATGGAAGGGAATGACTCAAAGTTTAAACTTTTACTTGATGCTAATCTCTCTCTGAACATGGGCTGGAGCAAACTGATACTGAATCCTTAAAAGAAAAGAACTACAATACTGCTAGACAAGCATAAAAAAAGTAACACAAAATCAAGATAATCAATCAACAAGCAACTCATTTATATGTAGCACTTTAAGAACAGCACTTTATCCACAACAATCATGAGATTTATAGTGCAATTATTATCTCTGTTTTAGAGATGAAGAAACCAAGGCTTTGAGGGGCCAAATGACCTGGTCATAATCACACAGCTGGGAAGAGTCCTAAATGGAATCTCAACTAGATCTACTGACCAGAAAGAAGGTATAGCTAACATTCAAACAGTGCTTTCAAGCTCCAAAACACTTTACAAGATCCTTACAAGAACCCTGTGATATAGGTGCTATTATTATCCCCATTTTATAAGTGAGGAAATTAAGGCTGAGAGATGTTAAGTGATATGCCCAGGGTCACATAGGTAGGAATTGTCTGAGGTAGGATTTGAAATGAAGTCTTTTTGGCTCAGAATCAAGCATGCTGTCCACCACTATTTCACCTAGCTTCCTCAGTTTTTCAGTCCATCATGCTACCTCATGGGTCTTTCTGTTGGCCCAATCTTTTAACAAATATAGTGCACTCATTTGAGGGTTTTTTCTTATTCATTGAATATTTTGTCTTTGAGTTAACATTTATGGCACTACATTAACATAGTTGTTGCATTTTATGCATGCGCTAACTGAAAAAAAATAATCTACATAGAACAAATATGTCAGGGAAGGTACACAACCATCATTTTTAGAAAGTAATCTATGTTTTAGGTAAGTTGCAAATCCTCCAAAATTTGCTTAGATAATATATATTTTCCTCATATATTTTCAAGGAATTTAATTTGAAAGCCTTATTTTCAAACAGCAGTTAAATGTCACATAATTAAGAACACTGCATTGTATCAGGAGAGGCACCAAGGAAATAGTGGATAATTATAATAAATCTGTGTTGTTGTTTTCCAGTCTGTCCATATAGTCATGGCCTACTTCTCCTACAAATGTGTGTACCTCTAGAAGTGCTTAGTAATTGTGCAGTGGATGGCAACTGATGATTCTTAATTAAGTTTCAAATGTGCTTCCTCACACAGCTGTACACACATGTGCACAGAGCTAATCGTTAGTTGCACCTGCTCCAAGTTAGGACTATTCCATAGTGCACATGGCAAGAATGGCATTTTCAAGTGTTAATTTGTTGAATGTAAATCAATATTTTTTTTCAATACTTGATGGCACATGCTTTTTGACAATTGACACTTACATACACCAAATTTGAAATGTAAAAGTTGACTGTTTGAGTTGCTGACCTGAAATGGCAGTGACTGTTTAGATATTGAACAAAAAATATCTTACATACTGGAAAAACTCCTCTTCCCCTCTACCACCTCACCCCCACCCCACACATAATTTAACTTGGAAATAAATGAGGGATTTTTCAAAATTTATATGAGAAAAGTGTTTCCTTCCAACCAGACACTAAGCATTTTAGCCAAACATTTTTTTTCTCTTAAAGCCCTAAAAAACAAAATTGAAAAGAAAAAAAAGTGGTTTCTGCTGCTAAGTCCACTACAATGAATGCAGTGATTTTCGTCTCTATCTGAAATCTTCAGTTACAGAGCATTAAGGGCAGAAATGATAAAAAGAAATTACCTTCTTGAGATTATGAGCTTAAACTCTTGATTCTGCAAATGCAGCAAACCTGGTTCCAAAGATCACATCTGTTTCCTTAAGAATCACCCAAAAATCTGAAGTTAGCCCAGCCACACAGCTGCAGAGATTTTAATTTGTGATGAAGGAGAACATTTCCTTTTACTTGAAATGAAAGTTTTTCACAATCTCTCTGGCATGGATTTCTCAGTACCAACTGTACCCTTTTTGTTTGGGGGTGGGGTGGGCATGATGGTGGTAATTACCAAACACTATTAAACACCACACAATAGACATATGACTTAATTAAGAGTGAAACTGAGGAATCATGAAATAAACATTTAATATTTTTTGTCGAAATAATAGCCTGGATCCAACAGGACCAGGGGTAATACATACTTCTATGTAAAACCAAATTCTACTTTCTTTCTCAAGAAGAACAAATGAACTAAACATACTTTCCCTCCAGTTCAGATAATGTCCAAATTATGAAGCTTTCAAAAGATGTGGTGCTTGCCTGATCTCAAATTTTGATTCTCCCAAATTCAATAAAATGAAAAAGGAAACTAAGCAACTTGGGTACCAAGAACGGGAGCATTTGGCAAAAGCCATATGACAACAGAATATCTTAAGCACTTGAGGAGCAAATCAACAAACCTGCATGAACTTTGGTGTCAATCAAAAGTACACAGGGATAACACTTACTCTGAAAACTTAGTTTACAATATTCCCTTGTCTTAATTTAACATTGCAGAGGTACCAAAAGTAATTTATAAAAACAAAACATATAAGTGTATCCTTTTATTAACCTATGTTCTTCTGCCCTTTTTAATATTTTAAATGAAGGCATCTATCAAAAGTTTACCATATTTTTAAAAGCAACTGTGATCAAGAATTAGATAAATTTGAGGCTTTTCAAAGTGTATCATTATCTCACCCTATCAGACCAGTTGGTTTTTCTTCATCCTTTGTTTTTGTTCTGCATCTGCATTAACATGGCTGCTAATTATATTAGTCTGGTGGCACATAAAGTCTGGATGGGAAACTCACATGATTCTAAGTGAAAGTATCCTTTGACACCAAATCCATATTTGATGCAATTGACCACTCTTATCTTAAAGTGCCCTGTAACTTGTTATGAAACTGGGTTGTGATTTCTATTTTCTGTTTCACAAGCAATATGACAGCTCAGCCATCCATGCACACACAAATACACACACAAAGAGGCTTTTAGCCTTGTGTTTCTATGCATATTTAATTCCACCTTTCTCTTTTCAAATCACTGTATAATCAATTTGAAAGTTTTAGATTTCATTTTGTTCAGAATATTACATATACTGTTTGCAATTACATATAGCTAACTTCCATCAGAGCCCTACTAAGTTAAATGTTTCAAAGTTAAATCGCCATTAAACAAAATTCTGCATAAATGCTCCTAACCACCCACTCATTCTCACAGTTCCATCTTTTTTTTAAAAAACACAATGAGTTGGCAAATGTGTTGCTTTTCTTAACAATCCCTCCAAATGAGAATGTTTGAAGATTCTCCTTATCTTCTACCACTTGTATACAATTTAGATTGTTCAAAGACATGCTTTTGAACAGATAATGTAAATGTTATCTTTCTTTTTTTGTCTCTATCATAGGGAATAGGAAATATTTGATCTGAAACTCTGATAAAACCAGGCTTTAAGAAATAACTGTGCTTTAACATTACTCAAAAAAGAGGGTGTTACACTTTTAAATTTTTATATATTTTTTTCTCACTTGCTTTAAAGACCAACAAAAAAAATGAGTATTTACCAGATTAAAATATTCCTCAACACACATCAACAACTTGGGAGGAGGGGGTAAGAGGAGAGAGTTTACTGGGGTGGGGAGTGACAACAAAACTACAACAGACCAAGGGCATTTATACAAAGAAGAAAGATTCAGCCAAGCAAAAGAATGTGCATTTTGTGACAACTGATATACAATAAAGTACACTTAAGGTATTTTGGTGTCAGTTCTACTAGTAATCCGCCCCCCCCCCCTTAAGGACAGCTTTACTGATTTAACTCTCAGAAATCTGTTTCCTTCCTGGGTTTTCTTTATCACTTGTCTTCATGAAACAACTACTGAGATTCTGATAGCCACTCATATCAAGTTATGCTTTCCAATCAAAGATATTTGTCAGATTAGGGGAAAACAAAAACAATAACATCAAATGGTATATGCTAACTTGCTGCTTCTGTCCCACAACAAATTAACTACTTAAAGATGATATTATTTGTCTCTAAATTCCTTCTCCCTCTTCAAATCTCTTCTCCCCTCCCTCTACAGATTTATATTAGGGAACTGGAACTCAAAGATGTGACATTTTCCATTGTCGGGCACTTGCCTCCCTGCAATTGCATAAGATTCCTCACAAAGTCCATAATCCAATATCTTATGTGGACAGAACAATATAAGATAATATTTTCCCCAAAAATGTGTTTTTGGGCAGGACCAAATTTAGAGTGCTTCTGGTTAGCATAAGGCAAATGTTTTTGTTGAGTTCCTCTCTTCTTTTAAAAATGTCTTAATTTTTAGTATACATACTTTTAAAATAAAATGCTCTTTATTGGATGGTCAAAAATACACAATTTGTCCCACATAGGTGCATATTTCCAATGTTTTACTTCTATAATCCTTAAGGTTAGCATATAGATATATCATACAGATATATCTAACTATATGAAAAAATACCAACAGAAAAAGTCAAGATGTCCACATTTCACTGTTTTAACACTTGTACAACAAACTGTTTGTGCCTGGCCTTAGTGTTCTATATTTATACTAACAAAAACATGTAAGCCATAAATGGACACGAAAATATCAGTTTGCTTAAAGAAATGTAACCCAACAAGTTGAACCCATCTCTTTCGAAATGGAATTCAGAGGGGTGTAAGGAATGGGTGGAGTAGGTAAGAGAGTAAGTATTGGCGGGGGGTGGGGGTGGGGGGGTCTACCCCCTCCTGTACAACACAGTAAATCTACCTGAAATAATTTCAGATATAGGCAATATATATATTTCCCACCTTTCCTTTTTTCCCTCTTTCCTTCATTCTGATCAACAGTAGACCTTTCATTGTACTCCCGTCTACTATCACAGAGGCACAGTAGAGAACAAGAGGACCCAAGTGTCACTTACCAGTTGCATGCCACAGATAAAGATAAGCGTGCACCTGCCACTGCAATAACCCATGGTTTCCAAGACCCTTGCCACAGCCAGACTGTCCCACGTCGGCCACCGTCGAGCCCCCACTTTATCCAATCAGATCGCGGGGAAGGACAGGCAAACCTGCGGAGGGCTCACGGGCTCCTGTCTGCTGCTGCCAACGTCCTGGGAAGTGACAGGCATTAGGACCTGCTGGAGCGGCTCTGTGTCAGCAGCAGTAGCAGCAGCGGCGGCGGCGGCAGCAGCGGCAGCAACAGTGGCAGCAGCAGTAACAACAGCGGCGGCGGCAGCAGCAGCCGCTCCAGCAACACATACCTTCACTCCCTTAGTGCAAACAGCGCTCCTCCGGCTGCGCCTGTGGGGAAAATGCTCCAGGTGCCAGAAGTAGGAGCAGCAGCAGCAGCCTCCACGCAGCACTGAGGAACCCACAATCATCTGGGCTCCAAAGTTTCACCCCCTCCCTCCCACCTCCTCCTGGCCCCACACCCACTCAAAGTGTCAGCGCTGCTGCCCCGGCTCCCTCTCCAAACACCTCGCGGAGCTGCAGAGTCAGAGCCCGGCGGGTGCAGCGCGCGGGGCGCTGTGGAGACGGGAGGGGACGCACGGGATGATGCCTGCCCAGCACTGCCACTATCCAAGGTGGTGATGCTGCGAAGCTGCCTGCAGGAGGTGCGGGGTGGCGGTGGGGAGGAGGAGGAAGAAGAAGATCACGGAGAAGGAGGAGGGAGAGGGCGCCGGGGGCGGAGGCGTCCGGGCTCCTGTGTCCCGGGCGGGCGTCAGCAGCTGATGCTAACACAGTGATGCGCCTTCCAGCTTAGGCTTCATAGCGTCTCCCCCCGCCCCCCTTGCCTGCCAGCACCGCTCCCCCCTTTCCTTCCACCACCCGCCCTCAGATGTGTTAATCCCTGGCTGACAACAAATCCCTTAACCCACCCTATGCCTTGTCACCCCTCGATTTTTCCCCCTCCCCTCTTCAAAGGCGTCAACTTCTCCGGGCTGGTACTGTGCTGCTGCTGCTACTGCTGCGGGTGCTGCGGGTGCCAGTCACAATGCAGAAGGGGAAAGGGAGGAGATGGAGGCGACGATGGTGCTGGTGCTGGTGCTGGTGCTGGCGTCGGTAGCAGCAGCAGCAGCAGCAGCAGCAGGGAAAAAGGAACCCAGGAAGCATGTCAGTCTGTCCGTGTGCAGGCTCTGACTGTCTTGGTCCTGCTCCCGCAGCCCAGCCTGGAGCACAACACGCGCGTGGCTTCTGTGTCTATGTCCTCCAGAGTGGGGTGGGTAGAAGGGATGAGGAGGGAAACTAGGCAAAGAGGGATGGATGGGTGGAGAGAAGCGTGCCGCACCAGCATCCCAACTGCCCAGGCACATGCAAAACTGGTCCTCTCTGGTGCAACCAACGGCCTGAGAAGGTGGAGAAAGAGAAGCAGCAAGGCACAGTCAGTATTGCTGCCCCAGCTCTGCTCTTGTGGTGCGTTCCTTTTCGTGAATGGGGGACGGGAGTAACAGGCATAGGACCACTCCTGGGGTGGTTTGCAGGTGAGAGTCGAAGAGGATGGGGGAGGAAAACAGACCACTTTTTTTTTTAAGTAGGTACATTGAGTTACTGCTGTTCTTTGAAACACGCTTCTGTTATCATTTTTTTTAAATGACCAGGAATTGGCACTAAAAACTGCAGCCTCCAAAAAGTGCCCTGATAAAGAGTCTGGGTGTCTGTTCACATTGTCAAGTACTAGAGACTGCCCCTGGAACTGGACTTGGTGCCAAAAGGCGCTCCAGCTATTTTAAGTAGCGTGAAATATTGGAAGCTTCAGAGCCCGCTGCTGCCCTCTGCTGGCTCAGAGCTGAAGGGCCTCGCTGAGCTCTGCGTGGAGGCGGTCCGTCCCAGAGGACAAGAGTGCTTCGTGGGTGTTAGGGACATTCTTAGAAAATGATAGGAAAACTCCCCTCTGAGAAGCGCAATAAACAGTGAACATCTGACTCATTTTTCCCCAGCGAATTAAAGAGCAGTGACTAAATACGCCCGGGAATTGAGCCGATAGAAATAAACAGGGCTTACCAAATACTGGATTAAAAGAGTGAGAAAAAGAAAACTTCAGAATGATCGGCGATAATAAGTGATGAAAGCCTTTGCCGAACATGAAAACTTGAGCAACGTGAGGACTTTATTGAGGGAGAGCAAACTGTGCGTGTGTAGAGGCTGCTCCTCAACTACCAAGATTCAGCTCTAATTTGAACTATTTCTCACTGTTAATATGAAGTTGCTTTCACTAAATTTGGATTTGTGTGCTGTGGAATAGAGCCCGGATATTTAAGTAGTAATGATGCCAAATGAGCACTTTATTTGAATGAAAATTGCGATGTACTAGGACAACTGAAAATACAGAAATAATATCAGACACCTTGATTAGTATCTCTTTTTGAAGCCCAAGACTGAATTTTCAGAAGCAATTTTCATTGCAAAGTGTAATTGCAAACTGTAAATCTTACAAGCTGTTTATAATTTAGGAAATAACCTCTTTGAGCCTCAGTTTCTCCATATGTAAAATGAGGAATCTAATATCTCTAAAGCTTTCCTTATAGGATTGTTCTCAGGATCAAATGTGATGATATGTATAAAACACCTTGTAATGATGAAGTATTATAAAAATGAAAGCTCTTATTATTAAACTGCAAAATTGTAAAAGCGTAAAGTTTTGAAAAGTATCCTGAATGTTTTTGAAGGAATGTAAATGGGTAAAATGTTAAAGAATTGATATGGATAGCAACAGTACATCAATTCACAATTTTATTTATTTTAACGGTTGTTTGCATTTAAAATATAGGTACAGGAAGACACTGGGATATTATTCTGCATTATTATATCAATTATAATCACATGCTTTTTATAAAACAATAATAGGATTTCATACAGAAGGAATGGGCAAAATCATTAGGTAGGTTTGAATTTTAGTGCTACATACTAGTCAGATCAATATTCTATATATCAAAGAATGGTCTTGCACAATTGCCTATGCACTTGATACCCTTTTGCTCAATCAGTTTCTGTTGTAGGCTCCCTTTGGATAAATAGCCAAACATAAAATTTATGGCCACTAGATTTACAAATGTTTCTTTACCATAGCAGCTTGTACTCTGTCTAGTCATTTGTTTCCAACCCAGTCAATTTATTTATGTCATGTTTCAGAAAGTTGAAAATTGTGTATACAGAATGTATGAAGAGAATGTGAGTGAAACACATCCCAAGAACACTGTTTCATTTCAAATGAAACTAGAATGATTTTCAAATTAAGGCATTTATGAGATACTTATCTTCTTACCCTTCTTCCCCTGAAAATAACATCAAAGAAGCATAGACTAGTATATTCTATCAGTTAAAGCAATGAATAATTAAATACAGTATTGTCCCTATTCTATTTTTCCAGACTTATATATACCTCTCCGTGAATTTTGTAGTCCAGTCAAACTGGGCTATTCTCTACCTCTTACCATGGTCCATTTCCCCACCTTGTTTGTCTTTGCCTAAGCTCTTTCTTATACTTCCAATCCTTTAGTATGTCCCTCACATAGAATCTTGAATATAACTATGAAGGCAATGACTATTTTTGTTTGTCTTTGTATTCTCAGCACCCAGTATGGTCCCTTACACATTGGTATTTAGTCATATCTGGCTCTTCCTGACCATGTGGACCATAGCATGTCAAACTGTCCATGGGGTTTTCTTGGAAAAGATACTGGAGTGGTTTGCCATTTTCTTCTCCAGTGTATTAAGGCAAACAGAAGTTAAGTGATTTGCCCAGGATTGCACAGCTAGTAAGTGTCTGAGGCCAAATTTTAACTCAGGTCTTCTGTAGCTCAAGCCCAGCATTCTATTCACTGAGTTACCTAGTTTCCTCCTTTACACAAAGTAATCACTTGATAAGTGCTCTGTTGAGTTCAATTTAATTTAACTCAATTTGGGAAAACTCCTATGATACTCTCTCAGTAAATATTTCTTCCTGGAATCTCATAACATGATATTAATTCTATGTGCTTCTTGTATATTTTTATCTATGATATTTTGTGTGTTTTTGTCTTATAACCCTGTTAGACTGCAACTTTTTAACCCAACTTTTAAATTTGATTACTTTTTTTAAAAATAACACAATATTTTCCAAATATAATCTTCCACCACCAACAACAATTTTTTAATAAAGAAAAACAGTTAAGATAAACTGGCAAAATAATCTGTTTAGAAATTGTTTATACGATTCTCTACGCATAGTCACCTACCTTTCTACCAAAAAGAGAGCAGTGTTTTTCATTTTTTCTCTCTGTCACCTAGATGTTATTAAGCACTCACTATGAGCCGTGAAATATGCTATATCCCTGGGGATAAAAAGGGAAAAAATAAATTCCCTAATCTCAAGGAGATCACTACCTAATGAGACAGATAATATGCAATCAACTACATATGAACATAGTCTCAGAGCGAAGGCAATAAGAATAGGAGGAATAGGAAAGACTTCTTGTAGAAGATGGGTTTTTAACTAAGACTTCAAGGAGGCTAGAGAAACTAAAAGGCAGAGATGAGGAGAGGGTCCCAGGCTTAGGAAACAACCAATGAAAATGCCCAAAGTCTAAAAATGGTGTAATATAAGATTCATTGAATCTCAGAATGAGTGAGGGGAGTGGAGTGTCAGAAGATTGGAAAAGTAGGGAGAATCAAGCTTATGAAGTGCTTTATAAGCAAATGGATGATTTTATTTTTGATGTGATGGTGATAAGGGGCCACTGGAGATTATTGAATGAGAGAGGGAGGGGATATGGTCAGAACTGCACTTTAGCAATATCAAAAACAAAGATTGTTCATTGCAACTAATCTGAAGTTGGATGTCTTTTATGCCTGCTTTGCTCTACATGGTTCTAGTTAGGCATATTATTCTCACATTTTTCCCCTCTGTATTCCTTAAAAAAAATTCCCATGTTTCCCTGACTTCATGTTAATCATTTCTTATAGCCCAGTGATAGTCATGTACCACGTTATATTCAACTGTTCACCAGATATTGTACCTTATCAAAAGTTTAGTTCTCTCAGTAACTTATGACACTGCTCTGCATGCAATAAGAACTTTATAAATGTTTGTTAAATTAAACTGAATTGCCTAAAATTATACAGATTGAACAAATTCACTGACACTTGTATAAATTAAGGGTGGGTTTATGTTGGGTAAAGTCAACTAGAAAGGATCCCATTTGCTCAAATGACTTTAAATATTTAGAGCAAATTCAGTCTCACTTATTTCTTCCAAATGTATTAGCTGTTAAGTAGAATAAGTCTAAACAAATAGTTGGTTTGTAATACGCCAATGGTAATGTGTTCACTATATCTTCTTTTCAATGTAATTCAGATTTATTATTCAGCATTAAAGAATCTTTCAAGCTAATAGAGTTACTGTATAATCTCTTTATTTACTGTGCTTTCCTTGCTTATCCTTCTACAATCCAAATTAATACTATTTTAATATAATATAAAAAGTGACAAAGAGAAATGTTAGGAAAGAAGATGTTATTTGTTCACTTATAATAGGATCAGTCAAAATTCCAACACAGTGTTGTGTTGGAGCTTCTGGAATAAAGAAAAGTAAAGAGATTCCACAAATCTATCCATACCTGGTTTATGACTACAAAGTGAAAATGCAATTGAGAGCTGGCAGAGACTTTTGATGTCTTCTAACCCAATTCTCACATTTTACAGATGAAGAAATTGAGAGGCAGAGAGATTTAATAATTTATACAAAGTCACACAGAAAGCAACAGATATAGGATTCAAACTATTTGTTTTTCTTCAAAAAAAGTTATAGGAATCGAAATGATTGAAGGACATTACGTGGCTCCAGTCTCTACAAACAAATAAAGCCAGGGTGGAGAATAATGAGGTTTGCCCATGTTCTGGGTCTATCTCTGGCTGTCCTGAACTGAGAACAAAAACCATGCTTCTATCTTTCTTTTGTCTAGGCTCTACTCATGTCACTTGGGGCAGTACAAAAGTGGTGTGGAGAATCTAAGAATTTTCCAATGGGTTTTTCTTTCTTTGCTCAATCTCTGTGTCTTGTTAGAAACAATCAGCAGTCCTTCCAAATTTCTGTTTATTACATGGGGAACAAATGACTGATAATCCCAATCTTCCTCTCTCTCTTCTTCTCCCTCCCTTCCTTCTCTTGTCCCCATACCAACACCTTGCATCCCTGCCCTAGATTGTTCAAATTTCACAAGACATTCTTTTTTTACCAGGATTAATGTAAAATCATATAATGAAATTGCAGTTTGTCGTTTCACTTTGTGGAAGTAATTGCTTTTTTCAAATGTTTAAATATTTTTAAGCTATAGCTTTCTTACCAATTTTGGGTATTAAATTGTTATCATCCTTGATAAAAAAAATGTTATGTGTCATAATACTTCATAAATTTTAATGCAAATTAAAGTTAAATTTTTGAAGTTTATGACACCCTACATAATAATTAAAGACAACTG